GGTCGGAACAACTGCTTGCGTTCTTTCCAGATGCCGCGCTCGGAGCGCATGACCGCAACTCGAGACACCAGAGACGAGAACGCGGACGACGAGGAGGGCAGCGGGAGGGGGGCGGGGGAGCAGCAGGAGACAGAGGGCGGCAGGAGGGAGAGGAGGGGGCAGCGAGAGGAAGGGAGGGGGCTGCGGGGACTGGGGTGGGGGCGACGAAGAGAACAAGGACCAGGGCAGAAAGGAGAATGATGAGGAGATTGAGGACGGCTTCGTCTTTTCAGGGGGGGGCCTCTTGGCGATCCAGGGGGGCCTCCTGGAGCGTCTCGGGTGCCTCAGAGGAGCCTCTTGGGGCCTCTGGGGGGGTCCCTTGGGGAGCATGTGGGGAACCTCTTGGGGGCCTCTTGGGGCCTCCTGGGCGCCTCTTGAGGCCCTCTTGGGGTACTCGTTGGAGCATTGCGGGCCAAATTTGATTGAATTTGTCCCACAAGATCCACCATGCAGCTTCCATGCCGGACTCATACTGGTGCCGCGTGCGCGCCCGATCGTGCCCTTTCGGGGAAAAGTTCATCACTGCTCTTTCAAATGTGCAACAGGGGCCCGACCACAAGTGGTCTTCAAAGAACGTGCCAAGTTTGAATCGCGGGGGAGGGGGGGAGTGTTGCTTGATTTCTTTGTTCGACCGTAGTGTTCGCCCTGCGCAAACCCACCATCTCTGCCAACGCTGGTCCACGCGCGGGCGCCCCGCGGTACAGTGGGGGCGTTGACCTAAGGAACCCTAAATATGGAACGAGGCCCCTTTTTATCCATACGTTAAACTTCGGCTTCCCATCGAAAACCTACGGAAAACCTCAGGCAAGCTGTGAGACAATTAAGGAGCATCGAGCCCCTCCCCAACGAAAAGGGTTCCTACTTCAGCGCCCCGATTGTAATTGCGCTTCGGGCTTTGACAGAGGGTGCGGCGTGAGGGCCCTCATATCGACTGCTCTGCACAAGCTCACGATCCCTCACAAATGAAGGGGCCCTGGGACACACAGACAAATACACACAGATAAAATAATGCCCCATATGTTCCCATATTTTCTGGGTTTCCGTCTCCCCCCCCCACTTCCCATATTTTCTCATACTTTCTGGGGAGTCGACGATTAATTGTGTCTGTGTGTTGTTACCCCTCCTGAACAAAAGCCCTACAGATTGTAGCGTTTCCGGCGGGATTCGTGCACTCGGTGGAATCGGAGCCCCAGGCTCGGATGCTGCCGATGTGTCGGGAGGGCAGGTGGAAGTGAGCGACACGGCTTGCGGCTTGGGGTAGTTTGACCTCTCGCCCTACCCCTCTCCCTTGGTCTCGAAGGAGGGGAGCGCAGGTTGCTGGAGGGCCCAAGATGGCGCAAAATCGGTTTAACAGGGCCCCAGATGGCCAGTCATGGCATTTAAGAAAATGCAAGAGAGACCAAGTTTGATCTAGATAGTCTCCAACATGTTCAAGATGGCTGCAAGATCGCCCAAGAGGACCCCCAAAGCGCTTCAAGAAGGCCCAAAGAAGCCATCTAACAGCCTCCATCGCGGGGGCGTTAATTGAGAAGTTCCTCCTTTTTCATCGATGGCACCCAAGACGTCCCAAAGAGGGCCCCAAACAGCCAAGAGGCTCCCACATCGAAAGACCACCAAAGGCATGTATGGTTGGTTCCTGGGCCTGCCTGGGAAGATCCCGATCGTCGGTTTGGTGACTACCCCCCCCATTTGTTCCACTGCGTGCTCCCACTCTTCCTTGTCCAATGTAACTCGCATGGGCATCGTTGCTGGATGGGCTGGCGGGGATTTTGCTGATCGCGAGCGTAAACGGAAAAGCCGCGCGCCGTCCAGAGCAACCGCTAACCAGCAGTAGCTTAAATTGCACACTAGAAAAAGGAGAAGAGGGACAACAGGAGAACAGCGGGAGGTGGGTGAGACGGGCAGGGGCGGGCCGCGCGGCGCTCACGGAGGGGGCGCCATCGGCAGCTGCAGCCGCCGGGGGTGCACGCGAAAATGGTGGGCAATTGGCTGGCAATGTGGTGCCCCGTGACCGCGGCGAGGGGCAACCCCGCGGGAGATAGCGGGCCGCAAGCACCCGCGCGCGTACGGGACGCAGCACGCTATGCATCCCTGCAAAGGGATCAAGCCTTCAGGTACGTCAAAACCCATGGGGGAGGCGGCGGAAAGAGGGAGCGGCGACTGGACAGCAGTGCGCGCCGCGGGACAGGCACGCCGTAAGCAGACTGAAGGCAGTCAGCCGCGCGACGACACCAGTGAATAAGCCAGCTGGCATGCAGGCGCTCGACGGACGGGAGTCCCCATCGCCAGGACCGGCGGAACGACGGAGGTGTCGGATACCGCTGAGGAAGCAGAAGGGAACGCTACCAGCGCGGTAGGGGGCGAACCGAGAGGCCAGCGGACCCCAGGCGAGCGCCGGAAGGCCGCCGCAAGCCGAGAGCCGCGGTGGGCGGATGGGCCGTGGCGGCGAGAGGACCGCAGAGAGCGGGCAGACGACCAGTAATGACGGCCAGCGCCCGGCAGTGCGACAGGAGGGAAAGAGAGAAGCCAGGCGGCGCCTTTGTGCGGAGCAGAGGGCTGGCGGGCATACGTTTTTTGGTCGCGGCCACCAGCGAAGAGCACAGGCGGCGAGCAGGGTGTCCGGGCCGACGGGCAAGAAAAACTGGCGGGGATACGCGAAGCATCAAGAATGCTTCTTTTTTTTTCACGTCTACGAGGGCAATTCTCGCACGGTGTGGCAACCCCACCGGTGAACGTCTCCTCGCACTCCACCGGTGACCCCTCCTCCCTCCTCCTCCTCCACCTCCTCCCTCCTCCCTCCTCCTCCTCCTCCTCCCTCCTCCTCCTCCTCCTCCTCCTCCTCCTCCTCCTCCTCCTCCTCCTCCTCCTCCTCCTCCTCCTCCTCCTCCTCCTCCTCCTCCTCCTCCTCCTCCTCCTCTTCCTCCTCCTCGGGCCGAGCATCAGGGCGCGCGAGCCTGAGCCCTCCACCTCCTCCACCTCTGCGGCAGCTCCTCCAAGGCGCGAGGGGGGCTGCCCGCAGCCTCGCCGAACCGCCAGTCGGAGTAGGCCCGCTCCCTGCCCTCCTCCCACCGCCTGCGCTCGTAGGTGGCCTGACCGCGTGCGGGGAGCGAGGCGAGGCGAGGGCGAGGGCGAGGGCGAGGGCGAGGCGAGGGCGAGGGCGAGGGCGAGGGCGAGGGCAAGGGCGAGGGCGAAGGCGAGGGCGAGGCAAGGTGCGGCGAGGGCGAGGCGCCGACATGAGTCCAGGAGGACTGCCCTGCGAGAGCACGGCGGTGGGGCCGGGACCGGGGTACACTCCGGATCCCTGTGTGACTCATGGACGTGAAAGCTCCCAGAGAGGGGGAGGAGGAGGAGGAGGAGGAGGAGAGGAGGAGAGGAGAGAGAGGAGGAGAGAGGAGGGAGAGGAGGAGGAGGAGAAGGAGGAGGAAGAGGAGGAGGAGGAGGAGGAGAAGACGCGCTCGACGAGGAGCGCGGGAGGAGGAGGAGCGCGGGAGGAGGAGCCGGAGGGCAGGGCGGCAGGCTCGGACAGCCGACGAGCTTCAGGAGGGAAAAAAACACACAGACACAATTAATCGACAATCCCCAGAAAGATGTAGGAAAGTATGGAAAGTGGGGGGGAAGACAAAAACCCAGAAAATATGGGAAAGTATGGGGAATCTTTTCATTTGTGTGTATTTTTTTTGTGTGTCCTGGGGCCCCTTTAAGAGTTGCTCTGCTCAACCCGCGGGCTGGGATCCAGAGTGTACCCCGGTCCTGGCCCCACCGCCGTGCTCTAAGCATGAATCCCACAAAGCACACGTGGCAGGAGAGCGGGAGAGAGGGCCACCCGCCCGGCGCCGCCGCCGCGCCAGCCTGGCCCGCGGCCTGGACCCCAGGGGCCCTGCTCCGCACAGCGCCGCAGGGCCGGCACTGGACGGGCGCTCGCTCTCTCTCTCTCTCTCTCTCTCCCTCGCTCTCTCTCCCTCGCTCTCTCTCCCTCTCTCTCTCTCGCTCTCCCTCTGCGAGGGCTCGGCGCGGCGCGCAGGCGACGGCAGCCGAGGCAAACGGGTGCGGCACGCCAGCGGAAGGGTCCCCCTCGACGCCTCCACGCCAGGTCGGGAGCCAGAAGGCGGTGGCTGCCACGCCCGAAGAAATCACACGCCGCCTGTCCCCTTCCTTCCCCTGCCCGTTTTTTAAGGAGCCGAACTCCGTACACTGACGTGGCCTCGCACTGAATCTCGCACGGGAAAGCGGATCCTGGTGTGTACGGGATCCTGGTGTATACATTCTTCCTTGTTTCCCCCGGAGAACGGGGAAAAAGGTATACACCACACCACCCCGACGCCGTCCCCGACCCTCGACTAAAGTCCTGGGATTGAAAAACCGCCCACCACTGGTAGTGTATATGCTCCAGTCTCCGACATTTTTCAGACGAGCGCATTCCACTGCTCGCAAAGCGACTACTCGCAAATGACCTGGATCCCCCGCGGAGGATCTCTGATAAATTACATCAAAGCAGACATGTGTTTTTCGGACGGTTGCGAGTAGGCACTTTGCGAGCAGTGGAACGCGCTCGGTGATTCGGTAGAGGGAAACAATTACTGAACACTCCCCCTCCCCCCCAAACTCAATGTTGGCACGCACGGGGGAGACTGCGGTCGAAGTGCATCTCATCAGACCCACCGCCAACTTCGAACATTGGGGGGAGGGGGAGGCGTTGACGGATGAATGTGGCATGTGTTCGCTCATTTGTTCCGAGGCCTGTATGGCCCTCGGAAGGATCTTACGTCCTCTCGCGTGTCCTGCCCAATCGGGTCCGACTGTCCGGAGGACATGCCCGACCTGGAAGAAAGTCCGCGAGCCCAGGCTCGCTCGCTCGGGATCCCGCAAAGGGAGGGTGCCCCTCCTCCTCCTCCGCCTCCTCCTCCCCCTCCTCCTCCCTCCTCCTCCTCCTCCTCCCTCCTCCTCCCTCCTCCTCCCTCCTCCTAATGTTCGCTAATTTGTTCCGAGGCCTGTTTTTCGGCCTGCGTCGCCATCTTCCACGGCTCCCGCTCGCTGCCGGGCGCCCGGGCGCGGGCTCTCGCGCCGCCAGCCGGGCCCCGAGGGCTCAGATGTCCTTCTTCTGCAGGGACGGCGGGAGCGACTGCTTCAGCTTCTCCGCCTGTCGGGCCGGGCGAACAGGGGGGGATAGCACAGGGGGAGGAGGGGGAGGAGGAGGAGGAGGAGGAGGCGGAGAAGGAGGAGGAGGAGGAGGAGGAGGAGGAGGAAGGAGGAGGAGGAGGAGGAGGAGGAGGAGGAGGAGCCTCCCGGCGCCTCCCGGCGCCGGAGACGGCCATGTATCGAGGAATGGGCCCCTCGGTGGGGCCGACACCAGCTGCATGCAGCAGATTTCGTAACCCCCCCTTTTCCAATCCCCCGCTTTCGTCCGGCCCGAGCCTTGCTCTTGTCCGCCATGATCAAGGTGTAGAGGTAGCTGGCGCAGCGGATCTTGAACTTGGTCGCGGCGCCGTTCTTCTTGATCTTGACCGACTTGGCGTCCTTGCGGCGCGCAATCTGCAGGAACTGGCGGATCTCTGTGATCTGCTTCGGCATCGCCCTGGCCAGCTTCCAACTCGGGCGTGCGAGGCGTGGACAGCTTCTCGGCAACCCCCTTCGGGCCAAAATGGCCGTGAACCCATGCCTTTTCGTCTTCTTGCTCCCGCTCGCGCTCCTCGG